ATGGCATTTGTTCATGCTATGCAGTACTTTACCAAACTAAGGGTCATCCATTCAGGGTTTACATCTACTCTAATGGTTGACTTTGGTTTTGGTGGATAATAAAACAATCCCTTGCAGGTGAACAGTACACATGGCAAAGAGTTTAACACATGTCTTTTCATGTTCATATTCATATTCATATTCATTCATATTTCTCTGCTCTCAAATAACACTGTTCAACAAATTTTTACTTTTTGCCAGTTTTGGAAACAAAAGGATCCATTTCTTAATGAATTCCACATTCTGAGTTCAAATATAACAATGAAATTTGTCAATTGGCTCTAGTTTTTCTGTAAACGGAAAGTTTTCTACTATAGGCGTAATGACTACATAATGCACAATAATTGTATAGATAGATGTCTTTCCACAAATATAAAGCAAGTGATATTGACTACATAACAAAGCCTAAATGGCATAATATATTGCATAGGATTACCAAGAAAAATTATAGCCATAAGCTAAGTTGAATCATTTTAATACTTAGGATTCTCACTAGTTTTGTCTTCAGTTTGTGTCGGTTTTGCTTCTCTTGGCTTTTCTCTTGTATTCGAGGAAAGGGCTATCTCTTACAACTGCACGTGACTACACGCTTCAGGTTCTTCCTCACTTGACTCAACCACGAAGGATTCTGGTGCTTTAGGAATTGGTAGCCCCTCTCCATGAGGAACTGGACGTATTGCCGATGGAATATTTGGATAGTGCACAGATAACTTTTTCTTCTTATTTAGCCCTTTTACAATTGGAGGCACCATACAAAAGTAACAATTACTAACATGATCTGTTGTCTCTCTCCAAATCATTGGCACAGCGAAAGGCATAGATGCCTTTTTTTTCCATTCAACCATTGCTCCAGTGCCATCCCACAAGAATTGCAGCATATATGTGGTGCCCAGCTCTTGTCCTGGTCTCCTATCTTGCAGCCAAAATACAAGTTGTAGGCTTTCTTAATCATTCCTGTTATCCTCCTTTTTTGTGAGATAAAAGTTATTTCACCGCAGATATAGCAGAAAATTATCTGCTTTATTCACACAAGTTCGAGGCATTACTGAGTAGCCTATATAAGCATAAAACGAAATGTAAAGACGCTGTCGAACTACAATCAGCTACAGATACTGCAGCTTTTATGCAGTGAAGTGATGCAATTAAAGGCTAATATTGCATCATCTCAGTATACATGCAATTTTCTATTGGTCACCAGTATCAATTGCGCAATATGCAGCTGAAGTTGCATCATAATTTTGAATGGCTTACGTCATTAGATGGGTGAATATATCATGGAAACTAGAGCCAATCAACATTTTTTAGGGTCATTTTCGTTTTCAGCACCCCAAAATTATGTAAGATTAGCTAATTTTATGCCCAAAACGTTTTACCTATTGAACAGTGTAATTAATGCTAGTCTTATATAAAATTATTCTAAAAAGAATCTCCCCTCTTTAAGCAAATCCCCAACTGAAATATATAAACAAACCACACACCTTAAAAGTGATAATTAATGATCAAACCAACAATAATCATAAATAAGTCCAGTGTCTTAATAGTTCAAAATCACCCAAAGAAGAAAAAACTGTGATAAACTTGACATTTTCTTATAGTGTTGATTGCTTCCGGTGACTTTTGTGAAAACCTCAAAGAAGAAAGAAACTCAAATAGTGTATTACCATAACATTATATGAGAAAAAAAAATTAATGTGTGAAACACAAAAATAGTGAAACACTCGTGAAAAAAATTTGCAAACAGCACTCGTGCTAAATCCTGAAGTGTTTCACTCAGTGAGAACCATAACCCACGTGTGGCACTTCTAATAAATGAGGCATATATACCCTTACCAACAGTAAGAAAACAAACGCCTTAAGGTATCATCTGTAGAAATCATCCAACAAATCTTTCTCCTCCTTCACTTGTTGCAGAGTAACACTGTGCTATCATCCCTCCATGATCATTCACAAGCCTTGATCCAAAATTGCCAGGCTCCAATCATATAATAGGAAATGACAATACTGTAACTCCATATATTTATGAGATCATATTACTTTAATATATCTGTTTACATTTAAAAATGCATTTTAATCAATACCCCAGTTCCTGGGGATTATCAGGCAGTTCCCATATGGAGTGTGCAGCGATTTCCCACAATAAAAATGGCCGCCGTAAGACTTCCGGTTCCTGCTCCTTGTGTTCGACGTCACTTCTTCTTGACGCGTTTCGTCACATCCGGGACTTAGTCATAAGAGATAAGCTTACCATTTCTTTTGCCCAACTAATTTCTAAATAGAAGTGTCAACTTTCATTATACCTAACAAGTCAGTTTCTGTGTTGTAATGAAAAAAAAGAGGTTTTGCACCCCTTTAGTGAAGAACAATCCACCTAAGTCCTCATGCACACTTTACGTTTTTACAGCGGCTGTTCTTGACTTTTGACGTTTTTTTTCTACATCCAGTAAAACCCCCAGCATGTTATCCTATGTATCCATGCACACATAGACTGTAATCAATGTTTTTTGGCTGGAAAAAAACAGGACTAGTGGGTTTCTAGAGGAGTTTTTTAGCTGTAAAAATGCTCTAATGCTGAAAAACCGTGGTAAAACGCAGTAAAACACCGCAAACCAGGCGTTTTTGGACTTTTTTGGGCCGAAAAATAGTTTTTGGAAGTAAAGAACCGCTAAAAAATGCAAATGTGGGGAAAACGCAGCTAAACGCCAATGCAAAAACGCTAAGAAATAGCTGAAAGACTTTACACAGCTAATGTTACCAGCGTTATCAAAACACCCAGTGTGCATGAGAGCTAAATCTGGCTATACGGTATCAAAATTTTGGTTCCTGGTGAAACAGTTGCAATTTGCTACATGGGTGTCCCTGTCCCCACCCTCCTGTCACACATCCGTTGTTTGATAAATTTAAGGAACTTAATGGAAAATTGTCATCCAAATTAGTGACTGTATTCAGTAAGATACAGCCTCTGTTTGGGTTTTTTGACATCCGCCGGTGCCAACTGTCATTTTAAAATAGCCCCAATGGGACATTCCTCTATCCCATTGTATAGCTAACTGTTCAACACCAATTTAACAATGTCTTCCATCTCTTGGGCAACATTTCTGAGATTTCTGTGCTGATTTCCAAGATCTTTACCCCTGCTATGCCCATTTTAAGGGATCCCACTCTCCTTGCTGGACTCTGCAACTATTTTATATTATGGAGAATGAAACAGGAAGATTTATATCACAGAAAGACAGGGGGACACCCAAAACTGTCCAGTGGACAGCAACAGAGACAGAGATTATGCCTGGGAGGTCAAAATGTTGGTGTGTCCAAGATATTTAAAGTGATACTAAAAAAAATAACAAACGTCATATTTACCTTCTTTGTGCAGTGGTTTTGCACAGAGCAGCTTCAATCCTCCTCTTCTTGGGTCCCCTGCCTGTGCTTATGGCTCCTCACCCCTGGACAGTGCCCCCATAGCAAGCTGCTCAGAAGTGAGCACTGGTGTGTGCTTGCTCCTGAGCCCCACTCTGTGTCAGTAAGAAACAGCAGAGTGTGGCTCGGCCCTGCCCTCCCACTCCCTCTTCACTGGCTCTGTCTCAGCCAATGAGGAGCAAGAGGCCTGGGAGAGCCGCTCTCTTTCACATCACTGGACCTAGATCAGGCTCAGATGAGTATTGGAGGGGGGGGGGGGGGTGCTGTGGAGAATGCTTCTCACAGAAGGTTTTTTTTACCTTCATGTATAGAATGCACGAAGGTAAAAAAAACTGTCAGCCTTTGGAACCACTTTAAGAAACCAGCAGCTTATTTTTTTTTAAATAACAAACATGTCATATTTACCTGCTGTGTGTAATGGTTTTGCACAGAGCAGCTATGATCCTCCTCTTCTTGGGTACCCTGCCGGCGCTTCTGGCTCCTCCCCATTGAGCAGTGCCCCTATAGCAAGCTGCTCAAGAGTGAGCACTGGTGTGTGCTTGCTCCTGAGCTCCGCTTTCTGTGTAAGTAGGACACAGCAGAGTGTGGTTCGGCCATGCCCCCTCCCACTCCCTCTTCTCTGGCTGTGTCTGAGCCAATGAGGAGCCAGAGACCTGAGAGAGCCGCTCTCCTTCACATCACTGGACCTAGATAGGGCTCAAGTGAGTATTGGGGGGGGGGGCTGTGGAGGATGCTGCACACATGTATAGAATGCATGAAGGTAAAAAAACCTTCAGCCTTTAAAACCAGTTTAAAAAACCAGCAGCTAACCTCTGCCTATAACTAAGCTATTACATTTGGATAGGCAGACCCTTTAAGGGGGGTAATGATCACAACAATATATGCTGCATCAGTAAAGTACATTATCCTTCTAAAAATGAATGAGAATGAAACATTGCTTTATCATACTATACCAGACCAAATAATAGACCAAAAATGCAAATGCTAATAAGATAAGCAGCTATTTAAAGATTAGCACAATCCTCAAAGCAAGTTATATTCAAACAAAACAGTGCTTACCCTTCCGTTGCAAACATCCACATATAAATCTAAATACAAAATTATGCAAAGTGTGTAAAAAAAAAAAAAAAAAAAAAAGAAGAAGAATCAAGACATCAAAAGACCGTGAGAAAATAAATCTTATGAATCAAAAAGCCCCGATAAAGTCCAAAATCATTTCTAAATCTTCATGTGTTCTGAAAAAAGACTTGCTATGTTTACCCAGTGAGAGAACAATCCTCCAACTGATAGGTAAAACTCACCGGAAATGATGGACCTTTTATTAGAGAAGGTCAAACGGCACAAGAAGAAGATAGAAATGCTTGTATCTGGGGTTCAAACAGCTTCTTGGCTGTTAATTTTTTTTTGTCAGATGTCAGAGGATTATAACTTATGATTTATAAAACTAGACAGAAAACATGTTTGTACTGTATTCCCATTTATTAGAACAAAAAGGTTGAAAACAAGTGCACCAAGCAAAACGTTTCTCCAAACGAAGTCGTTATTTCATTTGGTTACAAGATTTATAATCACCTGGTTAGGTCTAGATTTCGGCCTGACTTGCACCATTAGTGGTGCGCACGCTCCCAGTTTATCGTTAGCTGACCCAATCTTATAACCAAATGGAATACCAACTTTATTTGGAGAAATGAGCCATGTGCAGGGGTGGACTGACAACTCATGGGGCCCCCGGGCAATAGGGGATCATGGGGCCCCTGTGTCCTCAACCACACTCAAATCACACCCAAAAAAGCCTATGAAAGGTACCAGGGACATCTCATGGGGCCCCCCTACTGACCCCAGGCCCTCGGGCAGTGCGCAAGTTCCCCAATGGTCAGTCCGCCCCCGGTCATGTGTAGCCACTTCCCACATTGGCATGAGACTTCACCAGAGTCAGGGGCTTGTCAAACATGATTGCATTTGTTTTTAGCCTTTTGATTTTAATAAATGGTATATATGTAGAGAAGACCGGAAAAAAAAGGGGTTGATTTAATAAAGGCAAATAGACTGTGCACTCTGCAAGTGCAGTTGTTCCAAAACTTAGTAAATGAGGTAAAGCTTCCTTTTGCAAAGAATACCCAATCACGTGCTAGGAAAACAAAAAAAAAGCATTTTTACTTGCACATGATTGGATGATGGAAGTCAGCAAATCTTCGGCTCATTTACTAAGCTCTGGAGCAACTGCACTTGCAGAGTGCAACTGTACTTTGCAAAGTGCATGGTCTATATGCCTTTAGTGAACTAACCCATATGAGTTTGTTTTTATAAATTACAAGTTATTAATAATTGCATTGATACCTGTATCGGTATCTGTGCCGATACAAAGTATTTTCATGAGTACTCGTGAAAATGCTCACGATACTAGAAACCGATACTTTGTGGTGCATTTTGCATCAATACAAATTGCACCACAAAGATTAGCATGCAATTTGAACAGGAATGCAATTCCTGTCCAAATCACATGCAGTTTCCCCACTGCTCCTGTGTGAACCCAGGCTTTTCATATAAGAGGATAATAAAATATATAGTAAGCGCTCATCAACAATAACAGCAGCTGAACATAAAGGAAAACGCATAAAAAGTCCCAAAATTCATGTATATATAAAATGCAGCGCTCTTAGAAAATAATGAGAAGTATAAATGAGACACAGTCCAGTAAAAAAGTGCTCCGTGATTCCCCATGCAAATGGTAGAAATACACACTAACCAGAAAGCGTATAAGTAATACGCATATGTATATATATCTCCTGAAAGCTCCCCTCTCCTGAAAGCTCTCCTGAAAGGTAAGATCCTCCCCTCTTGTGGTGGAAATGTGGTCCAGCAGGTCAGGTCTGGTCACAGGAAAAGATCACTTAAATGAAGGCTGAGTTAGAAGGTGACTTCTATCAGTGTCCAGCAGAGCACTAGCTAAAGCTTGTAGAAGGAGTTTTCTTTCTGCTCTAGGAGGATGCAGAACTCCTGACGTCTGATTCTTGCCAACTAGTAACTAGCTGTGGTTAAATCTAAGCTGACCCAAGCTTAGCTGCTCCGCCCTGAATTAACTGAAAGTGTCATACCTATACAAAAGTTGGCAAGAATACAAACTGTATACAGCAGACAATATCAGCTACATTACTAGAAACATCAATGTATACTTAATATCTGAATTAGGACCCTGTCATCAGAATCACACAATTGAGCATACAGCACAGGGCCAATCAGCACTGGTCAGACAGACGTCAGGAGTTCTGCATCCTCCTAGAGCAGAAAGAAAACTCCTTCTACAAGCTTTAGCTAGTGCTCTGCTGGACACTGATAGAAGTCACAAGACTGCTCTAACTGCTGATGAGAAAAGGAGCTTCTTCAATCCTTACAGCCCTAAGTGATCCCTGTGTCAGTTCCTGTGAAGGGTGAGGCTTATCCAGATACTTCTCTGACCTGCTGGACCACATTTCCACCACAAGAGGGCGTAGGATCTCTACCTTTCTCAGCCATTTCTTTAACCAGACCTGAGAGGAGAGGGGAGCCTTCAGGAGATATATATACATATGCGTATTACTTATACGCTTTCTGGTTAGTGTGTATTTCTACCATTTGCATGGGGAATCACGGAGCACTTTTTTACTGGACTGTGTCTCATTTATAATTCTCATTATTTTCTAAGAGCGCTGCATTTTATATATACAGGCTTTTCATAGACTGAGTTCACACAGGAGCAGTTTTGGAAACCTCCCTGCAGGCATCCAATGCTGAGCGGGAAGTGGGAATGTATACTATGGAAGTAGATGGTCCATTGTCTCAGTGGTAGGAGAGGAAAGAAAGCGGCGGGGATTTGAAATCCCCACCACTTTCTCTTCTCTCCTTTCAGGGATGACAGTTCAGGATACAGAGCTTTTTATTGGTCAGCAACCGTCACATGAACAGTGCTGACCAATCAGATGCCATTTAGCCCTTACTGTCATTGCTGCAAGGAGAGGAAAGAAAGTCCCCATACCAGTGAAGCGGCTTTCTCGCCTCTCCTTGCAGGGCTGCATCTGATTGGTCAGCACCATCCATGTGACGGTACTGACCAATCAATATTCTTCCAGCCCAAACTGTCATCCCTGCAAGGAGAGGAGAGAAAGCAGCGGAGATTTCAAATCCTGTGCTTAACTATGCTCCAGTGCGCATGCGTGTTCTGGCTCACGCCTGTGCGCCAATGCACATCGATTTTCACCAGCCTGCATTTCTGCGGCCATTCAAGGAATGCCAGGTCTCGAGTACCTCTGCTGTGGACAGAGCCCTGACAGACCTGCTAACAAGTCTTTTCAGAACACGTGACGTTTTTTTTTGCATAATTTTGAAACTTTGCATTCTTAAGATTTATTTTCTAATAGTCTACTAATGCAACAGTTAATTTTTAGCACACTACGTATAATTGCATGAGATGTATTTAGATTTATATGTGTCTGTTTGCTACATAAGGGTAAGCACTCTATTGTTTGAATACATCAGTCCTCCGTTAACTATAAAGTTTAGGGACTATTAATCAAAATTTGTTTTATTGCACCTACTAATAGAAACAGTCCTGAAATACAAATAAGGAACTTGAATGACCACCCTCGATATTCCCTGTAATCTCATTTATACCAAATAAATGTCACGGTCAAGTTATAAATCTAGACACCCTTTATATGATATCCCCTGGAAAAAAAACATAGATTTGGACAAAAAAAAAACCCACAAGCATTGATTTCTGAAAGTCATTGTTACTCGTATCATTTTCCATCTTTCTCTAATGATATAAAAACTGTCTATCTGCACCCGGGGCTGCGGTAAATTGGGAGCCACAGCTAAGGAAAGTTATTTGGCTCAAGAATGATGGATGTCCCGAAGGGCATTTATTGTCTCAGAATTTGTAACTGTATTATTCCTATGAATCAAGGGGCGGAAGAGAGAGCTCACATTGGCTCCAGGCTGTTAATGGTTTCTCTTCCAAAAACAATAAATAAATGTGACAGGAAGCATGAACAATCCATAATGTGTTTATTGAGTGAAATGTGCGCAGACCCTCTTTAGACTGGCCTGGGTTTCATGGCGTGCTGCACACAGATCTTCTCTCCGAGAATAAGTATCACGTCAAAGCTAAAATAAGTTTTCAGTTCACTTCAGGCACCTCGACTTCAATAGCAATGTTGTTGTATTGCTGGGGTACTCTGCAACCATTTAGGTATTGAAATAAAAACTGGTCTAATTAGCATGACCATACATCATTAAAGAGAACCTGTCATTATTTGGCTTATGTAGTAATCTGAAACTATAGTTTTTTTTTAAATTTTATTTTGTATTTTTTTGCAGGTTTAGAATTTTAAAAAACCTATATATTAACCACTTCAATTCCGGACACTTTTACCCCCTTCCTACCCAGGCCGATTTTAGCACTCTCACACTTTGAATAACAATTGCATGGTCATGCAACACTACCAAAGCTAAAATTTTATCATTTTGTTCACACAACTAGAGCTTTCTTTTGGTGCTATTTAAAGAGATTATAAAGGTTAAATTTTTTTGTAAACAGCAAACATGTCTATACTTACCTGCTGTGTGCAGTGGTTGTGCACAGAGCAGCCAGGATCCTCCTGTTCTTGGGTCCCTAGAAGGCTCTCTTGGCACCTCCTGTCTGTTGGGAGCCCCCACAGCAAGCAGCTTGTTATGGGGCACCCGCTGCTCCATGTGTCCATTCACACACAGAGCCGTGGCTTTGCCCCACCTCCTCTCTCTCCTTTTTGGCTGACTGGCTGTGATTGACAGCAGTGGGAGTCAATGGCTCCCACTTGCTGTCTCAGCCAATGAGGAGGCAGAGACCTGGGACAGCCAAGTCTGTCATTCACATCGCTGGATTGCGATTAGGCTCAGGTAAGTATTGAGGGGGCTGGGGGCCACTGCTGCACACAGAAAATTTTTACCTTCATGCATAGAATGCATGAAAGTAAAAAACCTTTAGCCTTTACAACCACATTAATCACCACTGTTTTTTTAATTTTTTGCTAAATTAACAAAAAAAGACCAACAACCTAAGAAAAAAACATATTTTTATATGTTTCTGTAATAATATTTTGCAAATAAATAATTGTTCTTCATAAATTTAGGCCAAGATGTATTCTGCTACATTTCTTTGGTGAAAATAACCCAAATTAGTATTTATTATTTAGTCTGTAGGAAAGGTCCACAAACTATGGTATAGATCTGAAAATCTATCAGTCCTGAAGTGTTGATGGCCAATCTACTTTCGTGAGACCCAAAGTACAGATATCCCCCAAATGACCCCTTTTTGCAAAGTAGACAGTCCAAGGTATTTAGTAAGAGGCATGGCGAGTTTTTTGAAGTTGTAGTTATTTTTCAATAATTTTATTTTTTTTACATACGGTAACCAGTGAAGTACAGCGTCATCATATAACTGGTATGACGGGGTTTTATCAGCTTAATATCTTGATATATGACTAGTGGGTTTGGTAAAGTTATAACTCTCTGGGATATTGTTTTGGAGGGAGTATAGTTCTACTGGTGACCCAGAGGGTTCGTCCATCATGACAAAAGGCTTTGCAAGGGACATGCTAAATCTTCAGCTTCTGAGTAGAATTTTTTTAACTGCATATTGCATCTCCTTGGGTTTGTGTGGCATTTCTTGGCTCCTGCTTTTCACTAGTTAAGTCATCTTTTATATTTTAAATCAGTAATTGGCTTCCATCAAGATTTCCTCTACTTACCAAGGGAATTCTGAAATTGCATTTTTTGTTGTTTCTTT